TGGGTTCGTGGGTTCGTGGGTTCGTGGGTTCGTGGGTTCGTGGGTTCGTGGGTTCGTGGGTTCGTGGGTTCATGGGTTCATGGGTTCATGGGTTCATGGGTTTGGGGTTTGTTTGTTTTTGTGTTGGAGGTTTTGGGTTGGAGGTTTTGGGTTTGGGTGTTTTGGGTTTGGGTGTTGGAGGTTTTGGGTTTGGGTGTTGGAGGTTGAGGTTTCCGAAGGGATGTGTTTGCAAAGTTTTATTGCTCTTAATATTTGATTCATTTCTTCTAAAAATATTACTCATTACAATTAAATTTAACTCGTCGTCGTCCATAGAAATTATACTGATCTTAGAAAGTCCTGCTCCTGCTGGGTTCATCTTATTAATACTCATTTTTGCTTTCTCTCGAACGGTTGGGTCTCTCTGGGAGTGAGAACGGGGTACAAGACATTTTGTCTAGTCAATGGCTAATATACTACATCTAGGATTTCTCATCTACTTGCTGTTGATCTCCTACATCCATTATACTACATCTAGGATTTCTCATCTACTTGCTGTTGATCTACTACATCCTCAGCGAGATGAACCTCTTCTCATCTAAGAAAAGAGCAGTATGGCGCGAGTTATACCTTGATATTGCAGTACTGTATGGCAACGAAAGGGTATCTCGTTCTCCTCGTCTTCCTTTGCGCGTTTATGTCCTGCGTCCTTGTCGGCTTTTTTGGGTGGCACATATGGCTCGTTCTTGCAGGCACAACGACAAATGAGCTAAACAAGTGGAGCTCATTGAGGTATCATCCTAGGTGTAGTTTCGGCGGTTTCATTCTTCTATGTGTAGTTTTAAGGCTTGGGAGTTGACATCTCTATGCGCGTCTCTAGGTCTTCTTCCAGTAGGAAAGCCACGGATATGCGAGCTAGAGATGCCAACTTTCAACCCCTAATAGTTGCACTTGTAGTATGCATCTATGAAATTTTAGAACTAGCAGCTTTCAGAGGTGGAGATCATTTTGGAGATAGTTTTATGGTCAGCTTTTCCCTTGTATTCTCGTGAAATACAACAAGGTAAAAGGGGTCAAGATGAGGGGGCCGAGATGCATCAAGCTAGCCGACACTAGTAATTGGTAGAGCAGACCAATCATCACCTACAAGAACCAGGACAGCCATCTTCACCAAGGACCCCTCTCGTCATCATCCTCATTCTACATCATCCTCACTCAATCCGCAAGGTGGGCGCTCGGTGAGAAGTGCGAATATATATAGAGTGAACAAGACCCAAGTACCCCATAATGATCATAATCATCCTATTCCTAAGTTGTACTTAATATTCATACAACTTCCTCAGGTGGGCGCTCGGTGAGAAGTATAAAAGTGATTTGGAAGAGTATGCGGAGGCATTGCAGAGGTATCAAACCCAGCAGGAAGAGATACGGAATGACAGACCTCTCGCAAGCGATGAGGAGATCTTAGAGCAGCCAACCATGCCTGAGGATTTGAGAGGAAGGGTACTACTAGTGTTGTGTCGTGTGAATGTGTCTGTATGTCGTGCCAAACGTGTTGACATATTTAAAAAGCATCACTTGAAATGCAAACAAAAGAAGGCAGAAATAATGAAATGAAAAAAAAGCAGTAAAGAAAAGACAAGCACTAAGAACATGCAACCCCCACCCCAAAAAATATGGCAGCCCCTATACCTCAAGATTAGGTAAGTCAATCAATCAATCAATCAATCAATGTCCGGGGGTCACCCAACATCCTCCGGGGGGGCTGAAAGAATGTGTCTGTATGTCCGGGGGTCACCCAACATCCTCCGGGGGCCTGAAAGAATGTGTCTGTATGTCCGGGGGTCACCCAACATCCTCCGGGGAACCTCATTGTGCAGGGTCCATAACCTAACCAAACCTAACCGAACCTGTGTCGTTGAAAGACGAGGAAAATACAAGTTCCTCTTCACAGGCGTTCCTCTTCACAGGTTGGAAAAGATGCGAATATTTACAACAAGGGGTGGTGGAGCAACCTACAGATCGTCTTGTTTCCCCCAGACGTGCACGGTTCGGAATTTGTTTCAAAGTTAAGATGAGTTGTCAATCTTTATTTACTGCATAGAAATACTGACTTTGAAGAGCAGTTGTCCTAGGTATAAGTCTCATCATTAATCTTTTTCATGAAAGAAGATCACGTGTCGTTATCTTCGCACATTTAGTTCTAGTAGTCGTAGGTGCTAGCTCATACTATAGCAAGAACACCAAAGTACTTACTTCACGAGACAACACTCTTTCTTAAACCACTTAGCTAAACAACGCGCGGCCATTCTAATCTCTGAAAAAGGACGAAGAGCAGCAGAGGAGCCTGCGGGTCGTGGTGGCAGTGGTGGCGCGGAGGAAGTGGCAGAGACAAATAGAAACGCGAAAGCAGAGTCATCAGCGAATTTATGAAGAATCTCAAGGACTGATTGAGGGCCAAATAGATATAACATGTAGTTTTAGCGACGTAGTACAGGGAGGTCACTCGTAGAGGTCCTCCTCCTCCCGCCCAAGGCAAAGCATTATACGCCAAATGCAAAGGCTGTTCTACTTGCCATTCCGTCGATGAATAGAAATAGATATGTTAAACAAGTGCAACAAGACTCTGACTCACCTTCAAGAATCATCGATCTCAAGAATCGGTGCTGTCACCAAGAATTACATACACCATTCATGATGTCAAGGGCCGCAACAACGAAGTAAAAATACAGCTCAGCGACGGGTCGTGGAAAAGACTTCTCGCAATTATAAAGACAGTTGACCATGGCTGCTCGCGTCAGAAAGAGACTACACCAAGAGCAACTCTACTACGCAACTTTTTTCTTGGAAGCGTGTTTCCGGAAAGTAGTTCTCACTATCTTTTCTGTCCTATTTTCAGAATTAGGCTCTCTTTTCGCCTTAAATTTCATTTACAAGTCCCAACTCATAATGATTTCTGTGGCTTATTAGCTTTTCCTTCTTCGTCGCGAGTCCTTGAACTTTTCTACGGAGTCGTAGCTACACTTTCAGAGGACCAAGAGTATCAACAAAGCTCCTGTGAGGACCTCAAATTGCACACTTTGAGATTTCAAGACCTTGTCGGAACTACCTCTTCAATCAACCTTATTTGACCTGCTGAACTTCAGCTGCAGAGACTGGCGCGACCCTAGACCTACAGAGGCAAGAAGAAGAAGACGAAGAAAGAAAAGCTCCCTCCTTGTTGAGAAAGAAAATCTAAAGCTGTAAATAGATAGGGAAGTAGAAGTGGCGCTAGGACTACTGTTCTTTAGAAAGGTTCCGTTTTTGGCCTTTTGATGTTCTTTGGATGTCTAGTAAAGTTTCTATCGCGGCAAGTCGAGTGAATTCTATAGGTCTGTTAGTGACGACAAAGTTCTGTTGTTGAGGGGCTCCTGTTATCAAGACGAGAGCAGTATTCGTATTGAGGTCTGTCATTCAGAGTAGTTCGGTTGAGAGGTGATCGCCGAGTGTCGAGATTGTATTCGCGTGCTCCAGCTCCTGATCTTATTAGATATACTCTTCCATCTGACCACCGCCAAAATGCCTCAAGCCCTACCGACATTTCCCGTGGGCGATAATATCTATATTTTCTTATGTTCACTTTCACTTAGCTTTGCTCTGTTACTGTAGTGTACTTTCGAACCTGTATGATAATTGAACTTGAAACTATTGTTCTGACAACTAATTGTTCAATCAATGAAAACGACTACATGATGTACACCATATGATTCATCATCCATTTTAGCATTTATCATCCACAGTGAACGAATACGTATCCAAATCTGAACCCGATTTTCCGCCTGAATTTTATTCCCAAATCTAACAATCTCTTTTATTAGAGGTTTTCCGTTTTCGTTTTCATCTTGCTGAGAAGTCGAATAAAAGAACTCTTGCTCCTGAGTCGCAGACCCTTGCTCTTGTTCTCGGTTCGATCTTTTGCTCTGCTCTAGGTCTTTTTGACTTCATCATCTCGGTTCCAACATACTACAGCTAGTGGTCTCAACAACGACAACGAGATAACATCTGCTACTTCAACATTTTACGAGTTGTGCATCACCAACAATTAGAGACATCTTCTACATCTTCGTACTTCGTTCTCTGTGAGAATACGACGACTTCGCCCTTAGTCGTAGAGAGCTAAGCTGTGACGAGAATCACAATGTCCAAATTCTTCAAGCTATCCGTCGCTGGCTTTGCCGGTCTGGGAGTTGCACGCGAAACGACGTACTTGCGCAATGTTATGAAGATCTAGACGTAATAGCGTTGATGATCATCGCGTCTTCTACTTCTACAACGCAGTCCTGCGAGGTTCTACTACTCAATCTCAAGAATCTTGAAACAATATAGAGATTGCGTTTGAAGCGTCCTAGGTAAAGGCTGCATACCTCATTACTCTATTTTTCAGAAGTGTGAACTTTATGTATCTTTATCATCCTGCTCTTTGCTGAGGCACGCACAGGCCCCGGCCGCCTTAGATGAGAAGATAGACCTCCAGGGCAGTTGGACGAGAAGCGGCTCCTAGAATAGACGGGTCTTAATGCTAATAAACATGGCCATTAGAATACTTTACCTATAGTTATACCATCCCTTTTTGTTTTTTCGGTATTTTCCTAGTAGCTAGATTGGCTCCGCCACTATTCTTATCAGCCTCTTTGCCAAAGCTGAGTCTCTCACGTAGCGTGAAAAAGTCCAACGTCATCATCTGAAAATTACTCATGAATATTTAATATTTCGAGTTGCAGCGGGTTCTTGCTCGAGTTGCTGAAGTGAAGGGCTCCAACTCTGGAGCGAGTTGCCAGAGGGAGCCTGCCCCATCGAAATGGGGCGAAGTAGGGCGGCGCAGGCGCGTAAGTGCTTGCTCGGCATGCGGGGCGCCGTCTTCGGGACCTCCTGCGCAAAAGAAGGCCGGGGAGGCGTTGCCCCCTCTCGTTTCGGATCGATAGCGGCACACCGCTCCCTACTCTATGGCGGGGAGCAAGTGCCGCGCCCCCCCCTGTCGTTTGGTTGGGGGGTGTCAAGTTGGGTTTGGGTTTTCGTCCCGCTTCGTTGCGGGTGTCCGCCGGGGTGGGTTCGTTCGTAGCCGGCTTGCGGCAGAAGGATGCCGCTGCGACATGGGGGAAAGTGCGGCGGGGGCTGATGTGTGGGCGGGTAGCGGTGGGCGCGGGTTCACGTTGGTAGGCAGCTGGGTGGGCCGGTGCGTACATGCCACACCCCCAGGGCCCCCGCGTTGGACCCTTTGCGGGCATTCGACTGCCCCCCTGCGTTGTCTGCTATTGGCGGACGCCGCTCCTGCTGGCCCGCAGTGCTCTTGTTCTCTACTTCAGGGCGCAGCGAAAACACTATTTGCATGGGCAACTCGAGCAGCCCGAGAATCTCGGCCTGATATGGGTGAAAAAGAGCCTAACTCTAACGTTTACACTTCTCCCTCGCGTTGTGCTTTTTTGGTTTTTTCCTAGTTAGGCTGGCTCCATCACTATATTGACACTTCGTTCTCTCGTCACTCTCCCTCATCAAACCTCGTCAAAATGATTTATTTCTTCTATCGCTTTCTTCTAATACAAGGAACAAAAACAAAGGACAGGACAAGGAGAAAGCGAAGAAAATGTTGAACTGCGCAACGATGTTCGACAAGTTTGACTCCAACAACAGCCCTTACCACCTTAAGAATCGCGAAACTTGAACTACATGATCTTCGCTTTATAATATGTAGTTACAGTTAATACTTTCTTGCTCCTTCACCTTATTTGATATTCAGTTTTTCTTATTCGCATTAATATTTATAGTATCAGGACCCGCCATTCTTGTCCTTATGCAGCAGTAAGACCCATATTGAGATTAATAGCCTGGCTCATGATTATTCCAATGTTGCATTCGATCCTGCCGTTGCGTATCATGGCGCTTTCTATCGATGTAGTAGTGCACACAAATCATTGCATAGGCTGCATTCTCTTGGTTTAGTAGGACACACCAGGCATAATTGGCAGTTGCTCGTAGCTGCTAGGTGGTTCGAATGCAGCAGGGTAGGAAAGCGGGAATTGTAGATCCAGGCAGCAACAAAAAAAGCTGCTACGTGGTTCGATTGAGTGAATGAGTGAGTTAATAAAGTAGTACATGACGCGGCTTTGTTGTGTAGTGAAGAAGAATTTCTCGTGGTGAAAACAAACAAACAAGAACTTTTCGTCATCTCCTGCTCTAAGATACTTGCGGCCGCTGTTGGTGCTTCGAAAAGGCGAATGGACAACACTGTTTTGGCCTACAACGCGGTCTGCGGCAGCGGCTCTGGGTTGAGTCAGGAGGTTTATTTTTATGGCTTCGTTTTGGTCTACTTGAGGATATTAGTAGGATTTTTCGTAGAGTAGGTAGAGTAGTAATATAATAATGATAAATTCCCAATCCTCCACTCACATAATTTTACGGCCTCGTCGGTCGTCCCAACGAGAAAGATCCACATGAGTACACAAGAAAAGAGGAAGATCTTGTTGCTGTAGTATGCACCCCGTACTAGAAGAAGTTGATAAGAATTTGAGACCCCAAAGTAGCATAATGCTGCGTGGTCTTCACGGCCTTGTTAGAGTGCTACTCACCATATTAATGGCATTCATCACCATGATCCCCCCGTGAAGGTTTTTCATATCATGATTGGAAGCGTTCAAGAATGAATTATTTTAGTTCTTTTTAAGAAGTTGAGATGGAATAGAAAATGATTTTTATGTGTAACTACAACAACCTCTTGGTTCTAAGTCAGGTTTAAAAATGACAAAGGAAAAAAATCAAAATTGGAGGACTGGAAGCAAAACACCTACGGACACTTATGGCCGCCATGAGTTTACAACATGATGACCTTGACCTTGGCCTAGTACTTCTATCGTAAATATTTATTCAAATTCTAGGAGCACCAATAAAACATCTATATGACTTCTACTTTCCTGAAATTACAATTTTTAGTAGAAACGAACTACTTTCCTAAAAACAACATCTTATATTTTTGAGCCTCTGCTCGCTCCTAGTGGTCGGACGCGGCAACATAAGAGAGCTCCTGATGAGGACTTTCATTACTTAGATGCATCATTATCATGATCATCATCATCATCATCGTCATCCCTCCATAGCAGTTGCCTACTTGTATGATCCTACTCATTGCTGTATGTTATCAAATAAACATCTTTACTACTTGAGAACCAACAACCTTTCAATTATGAGCAAGAAGACCTGTGGTGATCATGATGATTATGGTTGCTGCTACTTTGGGTCGTACTTGTATGGTTATCTTCAGTACTTCACTTGCTTTCCTTCTAAGACTGATTGACGTCGAGAAGCCCAGCAAGGAATCGTACAAAGTTCCGATGGAAGTTATGGCTATAGACACTGTGATTACAGAATGATGCTAAATATATGAATGCACCAGGAGTCGTGTGCGTGTCGTGCGTGTCGTGTGTCTGGTCAGTTCATCTACACTTTCAATTCATCTTGAGGTCCTCCAGTAAGAAATTGCAACCATAATTCAAGAGAATGTCCTCTGGTCAGAAGTTTTCCATCGCATTTTTAGAACTAGAGACTCTAGTTCTAAACTCTCAATATTTGCCCATCTACTTCTTGACCCCGATCCTCCAGAGAAGTTGGATTAGACTACAGTAGCTGTAGTCCATTCATCCTGCTCTTCCAGAGCTGGATTAGAAGACTACAGTAGCTGTACTCCTACTCCATCCTCTATGTATTTTTCTAACAAAAATATAGATAACAATAGATTGGTTCTAGTAGAGGTTTACAAGCTCAAATCGAACTAAATCATTTATACCCCGCGATTGGGTAGTACACCACTGCTCCGATTACTACTAACTACTAAGATTTTTTTGTTCCTCCAATAAAGAAGTTTACAAGCTCAATAACTACTAAGAACAATCTATCTTCTATTCCTCTATGAAACCAAAATATGTTATCATTATCATACTTTTCTACTTAAGAAACTTGATAATGATAACAGATTTTCTTTTCATATCCTCTAATAAAGAAGTGGAGAAAGGCGAGTATGACGCGACAAAGAATTCCTTCTACCAGTGCTGCAAAAGTGGTTGCGTGGGCGGTTCTTCTTCCTCTTCTTGCCGTTAAAAATGTTATTGTTAAGGCTAGTAGAGAAAGAGCAGATATTAACTCAAATTCACCTCTTGGTGCTGCATCCTTGAAAATTACTATGCTTGAGTATCTTGTTCTATTCTCGTGCGATACAGAAGTAGACCTTTTTCAAGGCAGATGCAGGTGCTCTAATAGTAGGACTTCTGCGGAGCGCTCTAATAGTAGGAAGCGGTGGAACAAGTGCATGCACAAGTAGTACAACTAGAGTAGCGGGTGGACGAGCTTCATGCTGATGGACGTCTGGAAAAAAACGACGGACAACGAGACTTGTCGTGGTACGAAAATTCGAGGAAACACTAACACCAATAAATCCTCAAATATAAGATGAACAAAAATATGATCCACCACAACCACAAGATGATGGACAACAAGATGAACAAAAAGATGGACAAGATCTAATATCATTGGTGGAGTAGTAATTAAGATTATAAGATTGATTAACTTTGTTAGTTGTATCAGAATTCGACTGCATGACATTATTTCAAGAATCACACATAAGTATTTAGATCTACACATGAGTATTGCTATTATTGTGCATTTAGATTTACAAAACATTCATAGGATAGAAATTATTCAGAAGGATTTACTAGAACTCACTGCATCAACACTAAAAATATGGTACAGAGAATTTATTTCAATCGTGAATATACTCTTGATAGTCCAAAATCGAACTAAAAAAATCATTTGCAACAAAAAAGAAACAAAAAGTCGAGTAGTCTCAAACTAAGAGAAAAAGCATCTCCTTCTCCAGCTGTACAAGCGCAACTAGTACTGCTCCAATGGAGTAGATTGCAGGACGCTAATCTTCATAGATCATGATGCAAGGCACTCAGTGTTAAGGAGATATGGGAAAAATAATTTGGATTAATTGAGTGAGGAGAAGGAGAAAGATACGATCTCGATTTCCATAAGACTTATGACATTAATGTTTAAGAGTCAGTCTAAGTATTACTCCTGGCAAGACAAAGACTACTAGTATACCTTACTTGCCCTAAGTAATCGGAATCGCAGTCATCTAGTCCGTCGCTCAGAATAGATGAAGATTTCCAAACTTTTCAAAGGGCCAGGAGCTTCACGACCTAGCACGTAAAACATCGAAATCTCAACATATGGGAACGTACTTACAGAGTCACAGTCAAAGCATTTACTGGTCTTCATTATGCAGCAGGAAGGGGACGACGTATGCGTATCTCATCTCGTCAGAGTGGAGGTGGTAGTCGAAGTTCTGTGGTCCACGACCCTAAATGGTGAAGGTCTGGACGCTCGACAGCGAGTCAACACCCAACCTAACCTAGATCTCCAAAACATAGTAAAGCTGCTCATTTAATTTTTCATATTCATCTTCTTCATCATGATCATGATCTCGCCAATCATAGTAATAGTTGTTGCTTTATGTAACTTAACTCGTGCTCATCGATGTTTTTTCTCTTACCAGATTAAACATACAAGATTTCTGGAAGATCTCTGTCGTGTTAATAAGCGTTCTAGTGTGAGTAAAAAACTCAAATGTAATATTCAAATGGGAGAGCAACAAAAACAATCGTATTGATATCACGTAAAAAAATGTTAAAAAAAAACTACAACTAGCGTGTTGTACTATAATTGTGTGGTCGACGGAATAGAAGAAGAGAATGAAAGAACTACTTACTAGACACACAGTTCAAGAAGGACAAGGGGTGGCCGTGGTCCTTCAACAACATGAGCTGCAAGCAGAGCATACAAACAGATGATTCCACAAGAGATTACTGATATCGTCGACATTGCTAGTTGTACCAAAAAAAAATCTTCCAAGGTTCTTGTCCTACTTTTCTCCTTCTCGTCGTCCACTCGGATAATACGTGTTTTGAAGAGTGGAACGAGAAAGAGGAAGAGGACGAAGTGACCACGCGACGAGCAGCGCACTACAACAACGATGTAATTGATATCGTCAACGTGTCGCGTGCTTTGTTCTCGTACTAAAGTATCAAGAAATTACTTCTGCTGAGATCTGAAACAGGTAGAGTCCCAGCACAGCCTCTGTATGAGAGCCGACGTCTGTCTGAGAGCTGAGCTGTGACTAATACTCCTGGCCAGCATACCCCCGGCCAACATGCTACTTCTGTGTGCAAGTGAGTAGACGGGAGTGAATGATGTCACTTCTTCTGTGTAGAAGTGAGTAGACGGGAGTGAGTGTACGGGCAGCCCTACTAGGGCGCCCTTGTCTAATGTTTGCTATTTTCGAGGAAACGGCGCACCAAGCTATTCAAGAAATGAAGGTGGAGACTCCTCGTAGATATGCCGACGACAAGACTGGCCGCTTCTACTACACGCGAAAGAGCTGAGGAACCCAATGGTGCGCCGCTGTCTTTGAGACCTGACTTCTATAGCGGCTGCTCACTTGTGCAGGACAGTCCTGAAGAGCCTACTACGCTTTGTGGCCTAAGGATTAAGATCGTAGGCAGAAATACTATCAAAGTCATAGCGGCAAGCGGCACTAAGTGGGAAGCCTCTAGCTTCGCTTCTGCATCCTCAACGGAGACGGGCCGTAGAGTGAAAGGAGTCGCTCGCGGACATTTTTCACGCCTTCGAACCCAATCTAAAAACAGAATCCCCAAAGGAGACGCGCTGCTACTTATCCAAAAACTACCAAACCAAGGCTACCCCCATAGGTTTATCCTCGGTCTTCGCTAACTCGGTAGCCACTCTCTATGAGGGCGACGGAACTGACGACGCATAGTTTTTCAGTGACCCCTGGGAAATGAACCGACTCAGAATGCCTCTGGTGTTTCTGCTCCTCGAACCTTACAAGACAAACAACAACAAAGAGAGATCTTTTCGCGCTGAGTCTCTTCTCGTGCTGGTTCTATGCAATAAATTTAATGGCATCGCTCTTCGATCGCTCTCGCCTCTACACATGTGAAAACTGGAATGGACTTGAGTGCGTGCGTCTTCGTCTGTTTCGAGGTCCTGCTGGTGATTCGCGACAGTTGGCCATGACTGCTCGCGTCGGAAAGGGACTACACCAAGAGCAACTCTACTACGCAACTTCTACATTAACATTAGCTTTTCTTTCTTCATCACGAGTTGTCCTTGAACTTTTCTACGGAGTCGTAGCCATAGTTGTAGTTCATTTAATACTAGGGCCTAGTTCTTACACGGAATAGCAATAACAATAAGAACTGAGGAGGATGAGCATCGAAGAAGCTGTGACCTACTTTCAGAGGATCAAGAACATCAACAAAGTTCCTATGAGGACCTCCAATTTCACACTTTGAGATTTCAAGACCTTGTCGGAACTACCTCTTCAGTCAACCTTATTTGACCTGCTGAACTTCAGCTACAGAGACTGACGCGAGCGTAGACCTACAGAGGCAAGAAGAAGAAGACGAAGAAAGAAAAGCTCCCTTCTTGTTGCGAAAGAATATCTAGAGTTGTAAATCAATAGAGAAGTAGAAGTCGCGCTGGGACTAGCGTCCTTTAGGAACGTGTCGTTTTCGGCTTTTTGATGTTCTTTGGATGTAGTAAAGTTTCTATCGAGGTTCGAGATCCGCGGACCAAGTCGAGTGAATTCTATACGTCTGTTAGTGCCGACAAAGTTCTGTTGTTGAGGGGCTCCTGTTATCAAGACGAGAGCAGTACTATTCGTATTGAGGTCTGTCATTAAGAGTAGTTCGGTTGAGAGGTGATCGTCGAGTGTCGAGATTGTATTCGCGTGCTCCAGCTGCTGATCTTATTAAATATACTCTTCCATTTGACCACCGCCAAGAAAATGCCTCAATCCCTACCGACATTTTCATTTCCCGTGGGCGATAATATCTATATCCTCTTATGTTCACTTTCACTTAGCTTTGCTGTGTTACTGTAGTGTACTCTCGAACCTGTATAATTGAACTTGAAATTGTTGTCCTGACAACTAATTCAATCAATGAAGACGACTACATCATATACATCATGACTTATCAACATCCACTTCAGCATTTATCATTCACAGTGAACGAAGACGTATAATCTTCCGATTCTGAGCCTGATTTTCCGCCTGACTTTTATTCCCAAATCTAACAATCTCTTTTATTAGCCGTTTTTGTTTTCATCTTGCTGAGAAGTCGAAGACAAGAACTCTTGCTCCTGAGTCGTAGACCCTTCTTGCTCTTGTTCTCGATTCGATCTTTTGCTCTGCTCTTTTTGACTTCATCATCTCGGTTCCAACATACTACGTACAGCTAGTGGCCTCAACAACGACAACGAGATAACATCTGCTACTTCAACATTTTACGAGTTGTGCATCAACAACAATTAGAGGCATCTTTTACATCTTCGCACTTCGTTCTCTGTGAGAATACGACGACTTCCCTCTTGTTCGTAGAGAAGTAAGCTGTGTCGAGAATCACAATGTCCAAATTCTTGAAGCTAGCCGTCGCTGGCTTTGCCGGTGTGGGAGTTGCACGCGAAACGCGGTACTTGCGCAATGTTATGAAGATCTAGACTTGATAGCGTTGACGATCATCACGTCTTCTACTTCTACAACGTAGTCCTGAGAAGTCCTACCACTCAATCTCAAGAATCTAGAAACAAGAATATAGAGACTGTGTTTGAAGCGTCCGAGGTAAAGGCTGTGTACCTCATTACTGATATTGATACTTCTCTCCTCACTCTCCCTCGTCAAATCTCGCCAAAATGATTTACTTCTTCTGTGATGTATCGCTTTCTTGTTCTTCTAATACAAGGCACAGGCACAAAGTACAGGAAGAAGGGAACGAGGAGAAAGCGAGCGAAAAAATGAATTGCGCAGTGATGTTCAACAAGTTTGACCGCAAGAACCAGGGCTGGGGAGTTAAGAATCGGGAAACTTGAACTGCGTCTTCGCTTATTTTATAAGTACAGTTATTTTCTCTTTCATCTTGCTCGTGCTCCTTATTTATTCAGCTTTTCCTTTTCGCATTCATAGATATGGTATCAGGACCCGCCATTCTTGTCCTTTTGCAGCAGGAAGATCCATATTGAAATACTGAGATTAACCTGACTGATGATTTTTATCCCAGCGTAGTTGCACTCGATCGTGCCGCTGCATATCATGGCGCTTTCTATCGATGTGGTAGCACACACAAATCATTGCATAGGGATAGGGTGCATTCTCTTGATGTAGTAGTACACAAACAGAACTGGTAGTTGCTCGTAGTTGCTAGGTGGCAGCAGGGTAAGGAAACGGGAATGGTAGACGTAGACCCACGTAACAAAAAAAAAGCTGCTACGTGTTTCGGGTGAATGAGTCTGCGAGCAGTTAATAAAGCACTACATGACGCAGTTATATTGTATGAAGAAGAATTTCTCGCCAAAACAAACAAACAAAAACTTTCCATCGTCTCCTGCTCTAAGATAGAGTTCCTCAGAGGACGCGACAAGCAAAAGGACAGCGGCGCTACTTTGGCCTACAAAGCGGTCTGCGGTTCTGGGTTGGATGCTAAGCTTTATTCTTAAGGCTTCGTCTTGTTCTACTTGAGGATATGACTAGTAGGATTTTTTGTAGATTAGGTAGCGCTGGGCCACAAGGCTGCCCAGTCTTGGCAAGTCTCTCGCGGGGAGACGTTGGGCAAGGCGCTCGCTTGTTGTGATTGGGCTTACAGCTTGCGGCAGGTGCTGCCTCGCTGGTTTGATCCCTGTGGGCATTCTGTGGGGCCGCGAGGAGTTCTCTACTGCTTTTGGGGGTATCATGATGGGGAACGTTTCGCGTGCTCGCGTGGGTGTCTTTCTTCTCGGCTTTCCTCATCAGCTCCGAGGGGTCACCTACGTCGATGCCCGTCTTCATCTTGGTCTTCTGCTTGCGTATGCGTCGGATCATTTAGAGCCGGCCACGGGAATACACTACGGCGACCGCCCTGCGCTTTTGAAGAACTTGGTCAGAACTGACGGGAGGTCGGGGGCCACCGCTGTGCCGCGAAAGATGGCCGCAAAATCTTCGCCAAAGGTTGCCGGGGCTGGTCTTCGTTGGCTCCGTGGCTGTTTGTAAGGACAAAGATGAAGGCGCCGGCGTGGCCTCGGGCGCTTTGTGTCTCTGTTGTGTCTCTCCGTTGCTAACAGCCCCGGCGCCGGGTGGGTGTGGACCGCCCGCAGGCCATTGAAATCGGTGCCGCCTGGAATGCAGCCGCGGCGCACCGACCTGCGCAAGCTCCTCGAGGTGTCGAAAACTCGGGCGGAGGATAGGGCAAACGTAGGCGGGGAAGCAGTGGCAAAATGGGACGGCGTTGGCCATCTTCTTGCGCTTGCGGGCCTGGGGTGGCTCTTCGTTTTTTTTTTTTCTATTTGAAAAAAAACTTTTGGGAGAGTCTACCTCTGCGGGGTCTTTCTGAAGAGATAAGCTCAGGAGGCTCCAGCATTGTCAAAACTTGCAAACTTTCAGCAAACAGTCCGCGCGGGTTGGTTCTGAGGCTTTCGCCCTCTGTGTCTTTTCGGTGAAGACATGGAAATGGGTCGCCAGGGAAAAAACCCGCAGAAACTTGCAGCGGGCCCGCATGGGGCTCCGCGTTTTCTGTCTCTGGTTTTTGTGGTTTCTCTGTCTCTCTCCAGACTTGTGAAGCCTTTGGCGCTGTGCATCCGTTTGGAAGCTTGGCGGGTGGCTGCGCTGCAGACTGGTCGGCCGGCTTGTGATGCTCTCGGCGCAGTGGCTGGCTTAGTCGTGTGTGGGTTGTCTTGTGTTGGTTTTGTTTTCGGAGCTCTTGCGGGCTTCGTGTTAATGCGACAAGGACAGGGGCTGCGCGCATGAGTGTCGGCAGCCAACTTCTTCCCAAGATTTTTTGTCATCGGTGACCTCTGGGCGCGGTGTTCTCCAAAAGATGGCAGGGACATGGCTGCAGCGGTGGGCGTGCGCTATCTCTTCGGCCTGGAAATGTTGAAGGCCGCTTGCTTGTTGGTCGTTGGCTTTGGAAGAACTATACGCGTTTCGGTCTATCGTTCGGCTCCTCTGAGGTCTTCCCTGTGGTGCTTTGTCTTTGATTGGGGTGAGAGAGTGAAACAACGAACGAGAGAGAGGAGGAACCAGAGGCACACGCGTAACGGTAAACCCGTCAGGCGTTTGCTTGGATATTGCTCCGCATGAGTTTGCGAGAGGTGTGAGAACCACAGACGCCCGCGCCAACTATGGGCAACGTGCCAGGGGTGGCGCTCATGGTCAGGGGTTGCCTTATTCGTCTGGTGATCTTGGTCGTTTTGGTTCTGATGATCTTCGCCCCGGATCTTTGTGGATCTTCATGGGATTCCAATGGGCTCCCTTTGTGACAAGCATGCAGAGTAGTAATGAAAGTAATACATTCCCAAGAGTCCTCCACTCACATAGTTTTAAGTCCTCGTCGGTCGTCCCAGTGGATAAGAAAGAAAGGCCCACATGAGTACACAAGAAAGGAGGAAGATCTTGCTGATGTAGTATGCACCCCATAGAAGTAGAAGGTGATGAGAATTTCAGACCCCAAAGTAGCATATGTAATGCTGTCTGGTCTTCACGGCCTCGTTAGAATGCTGGTCACCATATTAATGGCATTCATCACCACGATCCCCCTGTGAAAATTCTTGATATCATGATTGGAAGCGTTCGAGAATGAATTATTTCAGTTCCTAAAAAGTTGAGATGGAATAGAAAACTATTTTTTTCTGTAACTACAGCAACCCCTTGGTTCTAAGTCAGTGATAAACCAGCATTGAAGGAATGGGTGCAAAAGACCTACGGAGACTTATGGCCGCCATGAGTTTACAACATGATGACCTTGGCCTAGTCCTTCTATCCTAAATAATAATTCAAATTCTATTAAAGCATCTACATCACTTCTACTCTCCTGAAATTACAATTTTTAGTAAAAACAAACTACTTTCCTAGAAACAACATTTTATATTTTTGAGCTCCTGTCGAGGACTTTCATTACTTAGATGCAATCATCGTCACCATTATCGTTATCAATATCATTATCGTTATCCCTATGGATATCATGATCGTTATATATCATCATCCATCGTTATCATCATCATTATCCTTATCAGTACCATTATCGTTATCATTATCCTTATGCTTATCCTTATCATGATCACCATCATCATCATCATCATCATCCTTCCATAGCAGCTGCCTACTTGTATGATCATATTACTTATTGCTCTATCATATCTTATCAAATAGACACCACTACCTGAGCACCAACAGCCTTTCAATTATTAGCAAGAAGACCTGTGATGATCATGATGATTATGGTTGCTGCTATTTTGGGTCGTACTTATATGGTCATCTTCAGTACTTCACTCGCTCTTCTTCTAAGACTGATTGACGTCGAAAAGCCCAGCAAGGACACGCAGTACCAAGTTCCGATGAAAGTTATGGCTATAGACACTTTGATTACATACAGGATGATACTAAATATATGAATGCAGGAGTCGTGCGCGTGTCGTGTGTCTGGTCAGTTCATCTACACTTTCAATTCATCTTGAGGTCCTCCAGTAAGAAATTGCAACTACCATAATTCAAGAGAATGTCCTCTGGTCAGAAGTTTTCCATCGCATTTTTAGAACTAGAGACTCTAGTTCTAAACTCTCAATATTTGCCCATCTACTTCTTGACCCCGATCCTCCAGAGAAGGTGGATTAGACTGTACAGTAGCTGTAGTCCATTCATCCTGCTCTTCCAGAGATGGATTAGAAGACTACGGTAGGTGTGCTCCTACTCCACCCTCCATGTATTCTAAAAAAAATATAGATAACAAGAGAGTGGTTCTAGTAGAGGTTTACAAGCTCAAATCGAACTAAATCATCTATACCCCGCGATTGGGTAGTACACTACTGCTCCAATTGCCACTAACTACTATGATTTTTTTGTTCCTCCAATAAAGAAGTTTACAAGCTCAATAACTACTAAGAACAATCTTTTATTCCTCTAATAAAGAAGTGGAGAAAGGCGCGTATGACGCGACAAAGAATTCCTTCTACCAATGCTGCAATAATGGTTGTTCTTCCTCTTCTTGCCGTTAAAAATATTATTGTTAAGGCTAGTAGAGAAAGAGCTGCAGATAACTCAAATTCATCTCTTGGTGCTGCATCCTTGAAAAGTACTATGCTTGAGTATCTATTCTCGTGCGATGCAGAAGATCTTTTTCAAGGCAGATGCAGGTGCTAAAAGATGAACTACTGCGGGGCTCTCTAATAATAGGAAGCAGTGGAATAAGTACATGTAGTACAAGTAGTACAACTATAGCAGCGGGTGGAGGAGGTTGTGGAGGACGAGAATTCTATTAGTTGTAGAAGTAGTACAACTACAATTTTTAGATGACGGGAGTAGAAGTCCGTCGTGGAGTAGAATGGTCATCATGGGGATAGTGGAGAAGAATGATCATCTTCATGGAGATGGACGTCTTCATGTTGATGGACGTCTGAAAAAGTGGGAGGATGTTTCCTCGAAGAACCAGCACAACAATCACAAGCATGAAGAGCACTTCTTCGTGAACGAGGACAACGACACTTGTGGCACGAAAATTCGAGGAAACGCCAATTCATCAAAAATAGGATGAGCCTTCCACACGATGATGGACAACAAGATGAACAGAAGATGGGCAAGAACTAATATCGTTGATTAATTTTGGTAGTATCAGAATTCGACTGCATGAGAATATTTCAAGAATTACACATCTTGTACACATGAGTATTACAGAATTTAGATCTACACATCATTAACATTCATAGGATAAAAAAATTGTGAAGGATTTACTAGAAGAACTACAGGACTAAAAAAATAATCACCAACGTACACCAACACTAAAAATATCGTAGAATTTATTTCAATCGTGAATAAACCAGAGCAATATTAACTTTCCGCAACTACAACAAACATACAACACCATTTCAACATATACTTAAGATAAGCTTTTCTTCATTTATAACATATACGCTAATCTTCAGTAATTGTGATCATGATGTAAGGCAGACTTGTCAAGGAGATCCGTGAAAAAGAATTTGGATTAATTGAGTGAGGAGAAGGAGAAAAATACGATCTCGATCTCCATGAGACTTATGACTTAAATGTTTAAGAGTCTAGTAAGCATTTTTACTCCTGGCAAGAGTACTGGTATACCTTGCTCGCCCTAAGTAACCGGAATCGCAGTCATCTAGTCCTTCGCTCAAAATAGATGAAGACTTCCAAACTTTTCAAAGAGCCAGTGTAACAACTTATGCTTACGATCTTCCTGCTCCAGGCTTCACGACCTAGTACGTAAGATATGAAAAACTCAACATATGGGAACGTACTTACAGAGTCAGAGTCAGAGCCTTTATTGGTCTTAATGCTGCAGGACAGGCGGGACGACGTATTTCATCTCGTCAGAGTGGAGGTGGTAGTCCAAGTTCCGTGGACCACGACCCTATGGTGAAGATCTGGACGCTCGACAGAGAGTCAACACCGAACCTAACCTAGATCTCCAAAACATAGTAAAGCTGCTCATTGAATTTTTCATATTCATCTTCTTCATAGTGATCATGATCTCGCCAATCATAGTTGTTGCTTTATGTAACCCGTACACTCATCGATGTTTTTTCTCTTACCAGAAACACATAAGATTTCGGGAACAGATCTCAGAGGACGTGTTCATAAGCGTAGTTCTAGTGTGCGTAAAAAATTCAAATGTAATACTCAAATGGGAGAACAAAAGCAATCGTATGGATATTACGTAAAAAAATGTTGAAAAAAACCTACAACTAGCGTGTTGTACTATACTTCATTGTGTGGTCGACGGAATAGAAGAAGAGAATAATGAAGGAGCTACTTAGATGCACAGTTTAAGAAGGACAAGGGGTGGCCGTGGTCCTTCAACAACATGAGCTGCAAGCAGAGCATACAAACAGATGATTCCACAAGAGATTACTGATATCGTCGACATTGCTAGTTGTACCAAAAAAAATCTTCCAAGGTTCTTGTCCTGCTTTTCTCCTTCTCGTCGTCCACTCGGATAATTCTTGTTTTGAAGAGTGCAACGAGTAAGAGGAGGTGGATGAAGTGACCGCGCGACGAGCAGCGCACTACAACGATGTAGTAGTTGATATCGTCAACGTGTCGCGTGCTTTGTTCTCGTAATAAAGTAGCAAGAAATTACTTCTGCTGAGATCTGAAGCAGGTAGAGTCCCAGCACCGCCTCTGTGTGAGAGCCGACGTCTGTCTGAGAGCTGAGCTGTGACTAATACTCCTGGCCAGCATACCCCCGGACAACATGATACTTCTGTGTGCGGGGCGAGGGGCGAAAAGGCTGCGGAGCTCAGCGGTGCCGTGGTCGAGGGTGGGGGCTCTGCTTAATAAAGTCAGACAAACAGGGTGGCGGGGGTCGGGTTTTGTGTGGGGTCAGGGAGGTTCTGGCAGCCAAGTAAGCTGTCCGGTAGACCTTTGCGGAAGTAAGTAAGTGGCTCGTCTATATAAACGCTAAAAGTGCTCTTTCTATCGTCATTCTTTTTCTCCTGTAGTGAAAGCATAAGCAGGCCAAGGTGAAAAAAAAGCCAAAGGTCGCTTTCAGTGGTTGTCTTCTCGATTATTTTAATAACAAAAAACAAGTTTGTTGGGGTGAGTTTGTTCAACTTAGGTCTTGTGTTGTGAAGTGCGAGGTCGTGTAGTTAAGTTGTTCCGCTTGCGTAAAGACAGTAAAAGTCTGTCCCGTCACATCTAAGTACACTGCTTACTAAAGTCTTAGCTGTTTTAACGGATGCAGTTGGGGTTCGTTGTCTAAGTCTCTCGTTTAGAGCTAAAGCTAATTCTTGTTAAGTTGTAACTTTCCGGAACATACGTAACCGTGCCGCTTCTCTATTCCAATCTTTGCGTGAGATCCGCCGTGTTTGTATACCATCTATGACGCCCTTAAGGCAGTCTCGCACTACAAAAAAAAAAAAAGTGAGATTAGTTGTATTGTATTGTATTGAGCAGACGGGAGTGATGTGAGTGAGGTCACTCCTTCGGTGTAGAAGTGTTTAGTAGACGGGAGTGAGTGGACGGTCAGCCCTACTATTGCAAAAATGGAGGCCCATGAGGGTCCTTGCCGAAAGTTCCCGAAAGTTTCCGAAAGTTCAACTGGCAGACTTTCTCTCACTCGATAGAAGCGCCTCCCGTGAAGCGTCCCCAGATTCATACATACGCGGGCCCCCCGCTGGCGTAGTTAGTGGCGCCTGTAAGTTGTTCCCTCGGGGGGTCGCTGAGTTGCTTCGATCGATGCGCGCATGGATGCACGCATGCCATGGCGTGCATGCATGGACTCGCTCACAACGAACCAACGCGCTCAGTCACTGCTAACTAACAGCGAGGCTCCGTTCGTTGGTTTAGTATACATAGGTAAGTATATAAGTGCTCCTTTATCTATTTACTTACAAAGTAACTAAGAAGCAACCAAGCCACTTTTTTAACTAACTTAGTCCGAGAAAAAAAGAGCAGCTCACTCAGCCGCCTCGCGCGCTGTTTATTGAGTCTCTGGTAGATTGATACGCACGCAGATACATGTCATAGGCGCCGAGGCTGGCACCTACTTACTTTCGTAACGCACCTAGCTAGCAGCGGCAGCCAATGAATCTGCCTACCAGCCTACCTACCTAGGTAGTACTAGTAGGCTGGTAGGCACGCAGCTACCTAGCTAGGTAGGTGCGTGCCTACGTAGGTAGGTAGGTAGGTAGGCACGCGCGCCGTCTTTCGTTCAGTGCGTGACTCGTCACGCAGACACGTCGGCCATGCATTGACTCCCAGGAACGAAGAGAGTGCGCGCCGGGTGATTGAGTGGATCGACGGATGGACGCGCGCTCGCGCGCGTTGGTTGGTTCCTGCGTTCATACATGCACTGGCTCACCCTCACGCCCACCCACCCGGCCCGTCAGTCACGCACTCGCTCACCCTCTCGCCACTCAGTCAGGGAGTCTATCTCTTACGTGCCAGCCTATGACATAGAGACAGCGCATGGGTGTACGCATGTCGTAAGTATCTATGGCATCCATGTGAGTAGGTGCGCACATATTAGACGCATAGACCGACCGACTGACTGACAGGAAAAGAGAGAACGAAGGCAGACGCGTGACGCTATCTAGGATATTGAATACGCGCCCACCTATGTACCCACTGCACGCGTGCGAGCGCCAGAGTGAGAGGGTGGGGCGAAGGCCGCGGCGCCGTTGCGTGTGTGGGGGAGTGCGTCAGACTGTCTGCCCCATTGTGGTGGGTGCGTACCTAGCTACTACCTAGCATCCGTGGGCGTATCTATCTATCAACGTTAAA